AAAAAGAAACAATCTGAATAAGCCGAAAGAAGGAGAAGAAGAATCGAGCCTTTACTTGACATGTTTCTAAAAAACATAGATCTTCGTTTAAGCTATCTAACCAAAGTTTGACTACGCGAAACCCTTGTCTACCAGCACATGAAGGTTCCACAGAGTTTGTTCCTGATAACAAAACATTCATCACACGATTAAACTTCTGAGTAAATAACAAGATTTGCTCTCCGCAAAACTATTTCCAATTGTCTTTCTCGGTTTTAAAGGACGAGGAGATTTGACTGTGTGGTAGTCTATGTTTATGCGAAGTATAATTGAATATTAATTACCTCGTGTTATGTCTTTCTTTCTGATGCACGCACTCCTAATAAAGTCGAAGGACAGAGGAGACAACAAGCACGTGATAGAAACCTCTACTCTGAGCTACCTTCGTTGAATTTACCGCCTTTATAATAACGATTTTGCAAATTTATATCGAACTTTCTGGAACGCAATGATGAGTCTTCACAGCTGGTAATTAAGAACGGTGCCGACGCCTTACGATATTTTCACGCCTTACCATATTTTCACGCGTTACGATATATGCCTCCGAATTCAAAATCGGCTCGTTTTCTCTAGCAGATTTTTCTCAACCGCATGGCTTGAACTTGGCAGTTAAAAAGATTTCGTCCTCATCAAGTACCGAATTGCGACAGAGAGAAGGACAAGCGGAACATGATTTTTAATGAATGGATATCTGGTTGACAAGCCCAAACACTTTTCATATGCGATTCATAGATACGCAATACAATTACTAATTGACTTTCATTAGGCTTCAGATAATGTCATCTTTAGATGATGTCATCTTTAGATAATGTCATCGATTTGGGCCTCAAAATAGAGCATCTTCACTTAGAGGGTTTAGAGCACGAATTTTGCATTGTATAAGGCCACAAGTTCCATAGGGTGCAGGGCTGATGTTTTCAATAAATTAAGTAATCTTCTTGTTTTTGATTAATAGGGAATGAAACTCAAACTGATTAACAAAGGACGCAATCATTACGCAATACAAACAACTAAAAGTTCAAGGCCAACATAAAATAAGCAGAAATAAAACAAAATGGCTTCATGCGAATAGATTAACAATATGTTTGATTTGTAAAATAGTTTCGTTTCTCGAAAAAGAGTTAGGAGATTTTATTGTTCCCCTTTTGGTAGGGAATTATTACAGCGCTCGTTAAAAAACGCTTTCGACTACTGACACAAATAGTCGAGTATTCGGCGTACAATACGCTATCAAAATATACGTGAGCCTCCAGATACGTTACATAAATTGGATACTTGAGAAATTATACTTAAACACATTAAGAAAACAAAAGAGAAAAGAGCAAAATGTCGGTAAAGAGGTGAATGCTTTGAACTTTGTTGTATCAACCATATATCGGTTTTAGTAAGGGCCTATTCGCACTAAGCGAAATTTTGTTTGTTTTGGAAAAAAAAATTTCGCAAGTGCCACCAAACTTCGAAGATGCCGTCAACTAGATTTGAAGGCCTACAAATTTTTGTCGGGCGAGAAAATCTATCGTCCTTGACAGATACCCTTCGACTGGTCATCATATTTCAAATTTCTACGGAAAAACAGTTAAAATCATCGACGTCCGGTTGAACAGCTGAGTTGAAGTCTCGATGATCCGTAAAAGCCGAGTCCTCCCCAACAAAAACAAGAAGTAATTGTTGAATAGCCACAGTCAGGTTTTTCGTGGCAAGCAAACAGCAAAAAAGGGCATTTAAAACATTTCGCGGAGACATTTTGCTTTGCGATCAGTCATTGACCGGAACGAC